GAACAGGTTTCTGTTGCAGGGCTTTCACTTTTCTTCCTAGGGCATGTTTCTCCCCATTCACATGATTTGGGCGCAGCTTTCATCTGAAGCCACTTCTCTTCACGGGGTGCTCCTGAAAAAACTGGTGACACCATGTGACATCAACAGTCGTCCTGGGGATTCATTTTGCTCCATGACTGCAAAATCCCCTGGTTTTGACGGGAGGTTTATATTGGGAAAATAATCTAAATAGGGCCGCTGGGGGATTTTCCAGCAGCTGATTCCCAAAGGTTTTTACCCGCGGAGCTGTTGCTGGTGCACCCCAAGCCGAGCGTTGTGGGGGACGACCCGTCCCGGGGCTGCAACTCATCAAGCCAGCGATGGCGATTTCGTCAATTGTACATTGATTAGTTGAGATTGTAGGCAGTTAGTGCAAACTAACATAGCTATTGAAAATGGCCCATTTATAGTTGATTTACCTATATATTTAATTATTAAAGATGGTGATTTTTCATAGTTATGTTAGTTTACCAGAGGGTATGTACCCCTGCGGTTGTTTCTTGAAACTTCTTTCTTAAGTTCCCACTACCAACGTTGGTTGCTGGACTGTCTGTGTTGTCCATTTAAGAGCAGTGGGCATTCACTGGGAACCACTCCACTCTTTGGCCATTTTTAGGCACACAGTTTCAGCTCCGTGTTTCCTTGTCTTGCTGGATATATGTCATCAGTTCTATTGGCTGTAAGTTGTATCCCTAATTCGTTCCTCGTTTGTTGCTGTTGTCCCCTCCCCGGATGTCAAATGTGTATCGGCATCTATTGGTTGCATCCCATTTTTTTTTGGGAAACACCCTTGGAAAATCCGGATTTTTGATGAATCCCTACTTTTTTGACGAGAGTTTTGACGTAACGATCCCCATGATGGTTAAAAACCATCCTTTTCGATCCCCTCTGGGATTAGCATCTTTAGAGGTTTAACTCAGTCATTTGATGGACACCAAATCAACAATTCTGGTGCCTTGAGAGCTCACTATAGACCAAAGATCTAAACTCGAGCTACTAAGTAATGGAGCGTCAGTAACATTCCAGTTTGTTTTGTTTGTATCCCCCCTGAACCACCACTTTTTAACCACCATTACACCACCATCAACGCCCATTAACCCCGTATGAAATACCCGTGACCCCCGGTAATTGGTAGCTATCAAACTGCAGTAAACACCAAATAAAAGCACCGATTAGCAGGCAGATACTTTTGACATGGTTGCTCCAACCAAATGTGGGTTAATGATAGCTGATAGCCACGAAATTTACATCTTTATTTACCAACTTGTTCCCCCGTATATGTGGGGTGGCCAGGGAGCAAAAATGGTTTGTCAAATCAGTGGGCTATCTAGGGTGTTGGGAGCAACTCCCACATCCTCATTATATCCCAGGATATCTTCCTAAAATGGTTGGTCAATTCTCATGCTTAGATCAGTGTCCCCATTGAAATATATTGAAATGTCAATATGATTCCCATCTATAGATGATTTTCCCATGAAAACAGTAAAATCATCATGAAACTGGCCAATAACCACCAGCGAAATCCTGCACCAGTTGGTCGATGGTAAACAGCCCACTATAATTCCATGAAATTTACAGTGTTTCATAGTTACCCTCTGGTAATTTGTTACATGGCTATGGTATAGATGGACCATTTAAAGATGATTTATCCATAGCATGGTGATTTTCCATAGTTTTTTGTATACCAGAGGGTACCAATAGTTACCCCCATCAAGTATAGGTATATCTACCATAAACATCCATAAACTCAAGTTATTGGAGTTATAAACCAACTTAGCTATCCAACGGGGGCACCACCTTGCTAAATCGTTACCCACCGGTGCAGGCGTTTTTCATCCCCGGTGCCATGCCTTGCCATTTTTCAAGGTCTTGGCGACTCGAGCGCGTGCCTTTCAGCCGCCTGAGCCTTGCCAGCTGTCGGTGCCTTCGTTCAGTTGGTGAACGTGGTTAGACTACCCTCTGGTAATTTAACATAGCTATGGGAAATCACAATTTTTAATGGGAAAATCCAGTATTAATGGCCATTTTCAATAGCTATGTTAAATTACCAGAGGGTACTGCAATCTTTGGAACATCCAGGGGAAATCTTTGGAAAATCTGATGGAACTCCAACCATTTGCTGTGAAAAACATATGGACATCTCTTCAAGAAAAACCCATTTTCAATAGCTAAATCATCTCCAAACAAATGGGTCATCAAAAAAGCTTAGATTACCAGAGGTATGTGGGTTCGTTGACCTCGAAACCATGGACGGATCGGTTCAACAATCTTAAGGAACATCCATGAAGCCAGGTTTTTCACCAACCATTGCAGAGGTTAAAGGGGTTCTTTCTAGGCATTGATTTAGAGAAAAGAACATGGGAACACTAAGGAGTTGTAGAGTTGAACCAACCACTAGATTTTTAACAGCTTTCGTTGAAATGTCAACGAATGGGGATCAGTAATCATGATTAGGGGTTGCTGTCATAACATGGCATAGCTTAAGGGTACAGGAGATTCCTCTGCATGACCCTACAACATATGCGGTTCGCTCAGCCAAACCCTGGAAGTGCCTAGGACCAGGAAGACCCATCAGTTTTGATGATTGTCACAGAAAGCACAATAGATGGTCCCCTCCCTACTCATCAATTGCGTGTCCCCAGAATTCCAATGAATTCCCAAATTTCAACGCCGCAGTGAGGTTCCGAGGTTCCGCGGAAGATAGAACCATAATTTACGAAATGTTCCTAGGATTTTACGGTGTTTCTATCTGGGGGATTGCTGCAATGTTACCCTCTGGTTATGACTAACATAGCCATGGTATAGATGGCCCATAGAAAAAGATGATTTTCCCAGCGAACGAAACCTCCATTGATCAGGGATTTTCCATGGCTATGTTAGTCATAACCAGAGGGTAGTTAGTTCATGTTCGTTCATAGTTCACCTGGTAGTTGTTGCCTCTGTCCAGGCGTGACTACATCCGCTGTGGCCGGCCGTTGATCATCGAGGGCCTTGGACCTCACCTGCTGTCTCTTAGCGAAGAAATATGGTTTCCTAATATGGGTGTGGGAAACCCAGAAAAAACCTACGTACATTTAATGGGATGGTAAACATGCCACACAGAAAAATGGTGATGGAATGGGGATGGTTTATCATTGGGTTTTCCACAGTACTCCAAATCATCCAAAATTAGACCATTTATGACCATTTTAGTATTGAAACCACTTGTGACTTGGGGATCCCCCATGTAAAGGAAACCCCATATGGGGAGATTAACTATTTTGACTGTGGCCATCAATAATCAATAATAGGGGTAATCAACCAATAATCAATAATGAGATCATTGCAGGGCTGAATGTTGGCATATGTTAGCCTCATTTCTTGGAGGGGAAAAAAGTCCATCCCAAACGCAAGGCCACAGATTAACTGCTGGGGAAGTGACCTGGGGGATGGCCACAGATTTCCGTGAGATTTCCATAGATTTGGGAGGAGCTTGGGGATTTCCACCATTGATTCCTCTTTGAGCGCATGAGAATCATGATGTCATGGTGTTTTTGGATGGATCCTCAGGTGTTGAAGAGAGTGGCAAGCTGACAGTTGTTCTGTGCCTTTGTCAAAATGTTGGTTATTCTCCCATAAAAGCGGATGGTCATCATCCCCCGATTGTTAGGGCACATAATATATCCATTGAGAGTGGAATCCCATTCATGATGGTGGGATGACCCGGGGCCCCATTCACCCTCATGTTACTTAACCATGGCACATATGCTAACCTTTGGGGACAAGGGGTCATTGCAATCCGTCACAAATTTGCAAAGCACAATTCTGTAGGTAAACCCTGTCTAAACCATTTGCACCCCTGGGTTGTTCCATGTTGAGGCTTTCCCTACCCAGGTAGGGCTCAAAATTCAGTTCTACTGTAGCTCCCCACGAAGATTGACAGCCAATTGTGGATCCAAAAACGTTCCCCATTTGTAGGTTACCATACAAGGGGGCCATGGCGAAGTTGTTTTATAACAAGGCTACCGGCGTTTTGTTTTTGGATTTATGGTATATCAACGGGCGTGTGCCTGGGCACGTTGCACCTTGCACCATGCAACTCTGAGGTCGCAAGAGAGTTGCCATCTTTCGCGCGATTTTCTAAGTCGCCACTTTGGTGAGAAGATGGTTCGGGGACCCAGATGCCACTAAAGGCGTAGCTTTAGAGTGATGGCGACATGATGCGACATTTTTTTTGGATGCCTTCAATTTGTTTTAGTGTTGCTCAGTCTTATTGTAACTGACTAGAGATGCTGAATTTATTTCTTGGTGATTTGGCCATAGGGCCATGGGTCACTTTGTTTAGCCTTGTAGATGACTGACTTTGGCCAATTCTAGTCAAACCCTTCGAATTTGTTGGCCAATGACTTGACTTATACCCAAGTATCCAATGTCATATCCATTTTGGTTGGTTTGTATCCCCATGTTTATTTGATTCATCTTCGTCTTCCATGTACTGTAGACATCTGTAGACTCTATTCATCTCTGCCATGCATTTCTGGATTTGGAACATGCATCGAAATGTAGATGCAGTATTGAAACAGTGATTCGAACTGCCACTTGCAACAGCACCACTTGCGAACCTCACCATAGATGATGCCTAGTCGGAGTCATCCAGAAAAACAGAAGGTTGATTTGTGTTTTTTTCCCCAGAATTGGTGAGCTGTGAAAATTATAGCCAATCCTATAGTCATTGACGTGGTGAATAATGATTTTGAGCCAATTTACCGTTCATTTTCCCAGATATCTTGGCAACTAGATCTCCGAAGATTGCTATCTCGTGGTGTTTTTCGAAACAGGTGGCCGTGTTTCGGAACTTCCGGGAGCCAAAGCTGAGGGACGCGGAGGACCTGAATGTCCAGAATGGGAGAATGGCTATGGCATTTCGTGGCGAGATAACTGATATGGCTATGGATCAATACCTATTAATACCATTGTTAGGGGAATGAACATCCATTTACCAGCTATTTTGATGTTCACCAGGGGTACAAGGTTTTGACACACTGCCATATAACCAATGATGCGCCTGATGGTTAAAACATGTTAAACATATATATGGGAGCCGTCCGTAAAAGCAGGTCACAAATTTATGAATTGATGCGTTTACTTTGCTTTGCGCGATTGCTAAAACCTGCATCGCGATAGGCTGAGCGATTGGTTGGCGATTGGTTATACGGCTACCACCCTATTACTACTACTACTACTACTACTAGTACTACTACTACTACTGCTGCTACTACTACTACTACTACGACTACTACTACTACTACTACGACTACTACGACTACTACGACTACGACTACTACGACTACTACTACTACTACTACTAGTACGAGTACGAGTACGACTACTACTACTACTTCTACTACTACTACTACTACTACTACTACTTTCGAGACCAGAACCATGCCAATAATTGACATGGCCGCGCGGATTCCGCGCGCGCGCAATCCGCGCAGATGTTTTCAGGTCAGAAGGACATTCAAGCTAGCTCCAATTGAAAACAAGTCAGAAACAGGTCAGAAACAGGTCAGAAACACCAAAAAGGCAGCACTTGCCTAGCATCCCATCCATCCATCCATCCATCCATCCATCCATCCATCCACCTCAGCTCTTATCATTGCTACTTCTACTATTACTATTACGACTATTACTACTATTACTACTATTACTACTTCTCCTCCTCCTCCTCCTACTACTACTACTACTACTACTAGCTACTACTACTACTACTACTACTACTACTACTACTACTACTAGCACTACTACTAGTACTACTACTACTACTACTACTACTACTACTACTACTACTTTCGAGACCAGAACCATGCCAATAATTGACATGGACGCGCGGATTCCGCGCGCGCGGATTCCGCGCAGATGTTTTCAGGTCAGAAGGACATTCAAGCTAGCTCCAATTGAAAACAGGTCAGAAACAGGTCAGAAACAGGTCAGAAACACCAAAAAGGCAGCACTTGCCTAGCATCCCATCCATCCATCCATCCACCTCAGCTCTTATCATTGCTACTAATACTACTACTACTACTCCTGCTACTACTACTACTGCTACTACTACTGCTACTACTGCTACTACTACTACTACTCCTACTACTACTCCTACTCCTACTCCTCCTCCTACTTCTACTCCTACTCCTACTCCAAACGCAACCTCTCTCTCTCTCTCCCTTGCCTATTCCCTCACCCTCCTACCAGAACTCCTACGCCTACTCCTATTCCAATTTCCACTACCACTACTGCTAGTGCTACTGCTACTGCTAGTGCACTGTAAGTTTTCCGGACCGTTTCCGGACCGCACAAGCTTATTTTGCTCCCAAATTTGAAATCGAATGCGTTCACGCATGGATCCTTACTCTCATTACTAGATTTGCTACTACCCCCAGCACTACCACCACACCCGCTGCTACTGCACCACCCTGCACCACCACTACCACTAGTACACCTAGGAATTTCTGCTCTTGCTTTTTAATCCAATTGCACTCGTGTGAAGGGTCAGAAACGAGTCAGAAACCAGTCAGAAACCAGTCAGAAACCCGTCAGAAACCGGCCAAACGCAATCTCTCTCTCTCTCTCTCCCTTGCCTATTCCCTCACCCTCCCATCAGAACTCCTACGCCTACTCCTATTGCAAATTCCACCAAACGCAATCTAGTGCTACTGCTACTGCTAGTCCTGCTGGTACTACTGTGAGTTTTCCGGACCGTTTCCGGACCGCGCAAGCTTATTTTGCTTCCAAATTTGAAATCGAATGCGTTCACGCATGGATCCTTACTCCCACTACTAGATTTGCTACTACTCTTAGTACTACCACCACACCCGCTGCTACTGCACCACCACTACCACTAGTACACCTAGGAATTTCTGCTCTTGCTTTTAAATCCAATTGACACGAGTTCCGCTGAAGGGTCAGAAACGAGTCAGAAACGAGTCAGAAACCAGTCAGAAACCCGTCAGAAACCGGTCAAACGCAACCATCTGTTTCCCCCTCCCTCCCTCTCTCTCTCTCTTTCTCTCTTTCCCGCCCTCTCCCTTTCTTCCCTTGCCCTGCTACTAGAACTCCTTCTCCTATTCCTACTCCTACTCCTACTCCTACTCTTACCCCTCCTACTACTACTACTACTACTACTACTACGACTAGTACTACTAGTACTACTAGTACTACTAGTACTACTAGTACTACTAGTACTACTGCTGCTGGTACTACTGTGAGTTTTCCGGACCGTTTCCGGACCGCGCGAGCTTATTTTGTTCCCAAATTTGAAATCGAATGCGTTCACGCATGGATCCTCATTATATTATACATAACTTATATTTTTATGTAAATGATCTGATCAACGAAGAACAAACCCTTCCGCGATTGCTCACTGTGGTACCGCGGTTGCTACGCGATTGGCTGAGCGATTGAGGGCTGTCCGGGAAAAGGTATTTTGGACAACCCCCATATAGTCTCCCTCCCAAATATGGTAAATGGTAAATACATGTAAAAACACCTAATGCTGGTATGACAATGATAAGTCACAGGTCTGACTAGTAAAGCGTCCATCCACCTTAACACCACCGATCCCATGTTAGGTCGTTTGGAGGCATCCTCAGAGTTTGAAGGAGACGTGGCGGCCTTCGGTCAAGTGATCCGACAATTCCAATGGAAGGCCGAACGAAGCCACCGGCCTTCGGGGTGGCCTCCCCGAAGTCCATGGAAGCCCCGTTCAGAACGGTTCCGGCAGCGCCGGATTCTCATACTGCGTCAAGTAGAGGGGATTTTATGGGATATCCATGGATATCGATATCCAATTCTTTTTTCATAGCAACTACAATCTTGCAAATACATAGCTGACAGCCCAGCTACATTTGGTGAGGTGATGGGTCATTTTCATCATTGTTTGTACTGTATGTTTGTAGATCGTGTCCTCTAAACTCTACTTTAGTCTTAGGTTTATCCATAAATGGGGTAGTTATACCAGGTTATATATACCTGGTTCTTAGTTATACATGGTTATAACATGTTATAACCCCCATTTAAAAAAACCGTTTTAATGACGTTAAACGTGGAAATGATGCCTGAAATGATGATTTAGCCCGGCCGGTAAGGATTTGCTCTTTTGCCGAGGCAACTGATAATGAAAACATTTTGCTATGGAAAATCACGATGTGAATGGATTGGTTTAAGGGTTTTAAAATGAGGATAACCATGGTTTAACATGATCAACCCATGGTAAACCATTTGAATGCATTGGTTTAAGGGAACATGTTAACTGATGTTAACTGTAAATGGCAATATTTTTCATTGGGCAATCAATGCTTTCCGGTGAAGATGGTCCCTCCTGAAACCAGTCCATTTGCCATAGCTATGTTAATTTTACCAGGAGGAACTTTTGGCTAATGAACAGTTTGCTATGGAAGCCACTGCCCATTTGTTTATAGATTTATACATGATAAACACTAGATGGTAAACAATTATCATGATATAAATTATCATGATAAACAATTTATAGATTATAACATCATGATTTACCTATTGTTTACATGGTGATTTTCCATGGCTAGGTGCAGAAGGCCGACTTCGCAGATTTCACTGGAGAAGTTCAGCTGCTGGGGCAGGTGGCGCCTTGGCCGCCTGTGCAGCGCAAATTATATGGGGATGATTACCATATTTGAGAGAATAAACGTCCATTATATATAACCAGCTATTGTAGGGTACCTAGGGTCCCAGGGTTTTGACTCATAGCCATGTATATACATATATATATATATACATACATACATACATACATATACATGCATATATGCACATATACATATATACGTATATAAATATATACATATGCACATGTCATGTCAATATAAGAATCATGATGATGATGATGATGATGATGATAGTGATAGTAATAACAATAACAATATATAGTAGTTTGTTCAAAAAACATCCATGATTTCAGCTTAACTTATTAAGGTATTAAAATCATATTATCATATAAGAATTCATGATATTAGTACTGAACAATAATAGTTATAGCAGTAATAACAATCATCATCATCATCATCATCATCATCCTGGATCATTCACAAGGATTCTAGATGGATATAATGCTTTCCAGTGCTTAGGAGGGACAGGGAGCCGTTCGGAGCTATGACTAAGACCTTTCCAAACACATGATAGCCAAACCAAATATCAACACAGAATGCTCAACACATCTCTCTTTGGAATCCTTTTGACGCATCATGGCAAGACACACAAAAAAAAACATGCCATGTTTGTTTGAAGTGCTGTGAGTATGGAAGTTATGCCCTGTTCTTGATAGGATGGCAGCTTCAAATTTACCAATATCTTTGGATGGATAGCAAAAAATGCACCAACCAATTGCTCTCTTGGAATCTCCCCATTTTTCCGCACCTTTGCATGTTTGTATGTCCATCCCCAAAACAGTATCAGAACAATAATTAATAATTTATATCCTTAAGAGGGGTATAGCATGGATGGCTTCACTGATGGTGTGGCGATAGGGGCGGCTAAGGTGGATGAGCCTGGATCCTTCACCCATACCATCCGCATCACCCCACGTGATGCTGGGAGCCGTGTAGAGTCCACGGTGCAGTACGCGCCCTCAGCGCCCCTGCAGACCTTGCTGAATGCCTTGGGAGGGTGGCCTGGCGGCAGGTCTCCGTGGGGCTTTCCCTGGCGAGATGAGATTCAAAAAAAACATAGATCCGCAATTTTAATACTTAAGAAGAGGTTAAGAGTTCACCATTTTTCCATTTTTGCCATAGTCTCTGCATTGTCACCATATTTGTGCATTATCTATATAAATGATCTCACCATATTTAACCATATTTAACCTATCATCAAAGTTGCGGAAAATCCCAGGCGTTTCTCCCAGCATGAGGGCAATGTGACAATGCTCCGGCGGCTGGGGGGCTTGGCCGCCGCTGAGCTGGAGTTCATGATCCACCAAAGCGGCTCCAAAAAGCATCAAAAAACCCAGGTTTGTCGCGGAGAAACCAACATGGGAAACAATGGGAACCCCAAGTCACCAGAAAAAAATAGAAACAACATGGAACAAGTTGACTCGAAGCGAACAGTCTAGAAGTTATTGCGATTACACATATCCCTATAAAGATTATACGACATGTATAGATGATCCATTTATAGAAGAATTATATAGCTTAAAGAATCAAATCAATCAAATGTGCAATTGTCAGGCTAGATCGAAGGGCGGGGATGAGCCTATTAAGGATGGTGATGTCGTCTGTGATCCCATGGCCTTTTACAACCTTATTGGCGACTGAGCAGCATGGCAGACCTGATGGGGGTGAAGTGCAACAACATAGGTGCCTCATGGTGCCTCTAGTCCTCTCAGTTGGATATGATACCATTTCTTTTCGCTGGTTGATGAGTTGATGCTAGCACCAAGAAAGTTTGGATGAATATGAGAAACAATTGGCATGCCGGTGAGTGCTGCATTTTCTGCCATTTTAGAGCAGTGTCGAAAATTTTCATTAAGGAAAGTTGTATGGAGATGAAATTAAGTTGGGCCCGTGGAAGGGAAACCACGGACGCGTGCAGATGGGGAAGAGCAAGTTAACTGATCGTCTGAGAGCGGAAGGGCCGGAGAAGACGAATTCAATGACAAGCAACCAATTGATGTTGATGCGATTGGAGGTGTGCTTTATGTCGTGCGGAGTCAGCTGTCACGGGGGCTTGGACCTGCTGTGGCACTGTTCGAGGAGCAAGCAGCAGCTACTTGATTATTACTTTTTTTGCTTCCTTCCATCTCGCGATGCCCTACGACATCACCCATTCCACGCACGGCCAAGCAACCAATTTTTTTCCGGGCAATGTCAATATCAACTCACCCAGCATTTGCGGAGCGGAAGCGGAAGCTAAAAACGTGGTCCCGGAAGCATTTTCGAAGACAGCACAGAAGAAATCAGAACACATATGGGATTTGAAAAGATTGGCACAAGCAAGCGTTTTCGCCACCTGTTTTTGCGGTTTTTGAGGCAGACTAATTGATTTGGTGGCCCCCTTCGAAGACGTCGCCACTTGGCATAGTTGGAGATTTGATAGCTGTGCTCACAGGTGGCCTAGTGGATTGAAATCATCATTGACCCCCAAGCCCAAGACATATATATATATTATATTATATTATATATATACATAGTAATATAATATATATATATACCATATATATATATATATATATGTGTGTGTGTACCATATATATATATATATAGTATAATAGTCATTGGCTGCTCAATACATGAATAATTATAAAAGCGATTGTGTGCAGTGAACATTTCTCAATGTTTACTGCATGTAGCAAATGTTTTCAATATATAGGCCATTGTAGACACCATGTCCTAAAGGCTAGACTCCTGGGGATGGCGATGGAGGGAGGGAGGGAGAGAGAGAGAGAAAGAGAGGGAGGGAGACCATATGTCCTCACCATGCAGTAGTTTGCTGATGGCGCTGGACGGAGGCAGAGACAGACAGAGAGAGACTTAGAATTAGAAGTGACTACCATTCGTAGTTTGGAGGATGGGCTGAAAGCCGAGGCTCGTGAGAGCCTGACACGGCTCAGCGGTATCAAGGGTGACGGACCTCAGGTGAGGTGTTGTCCATTGGAAATTGAATATGAATATATATATATATGAATGCAAAATAGACAACGTAGTAAATGTCAACTACAATCAACTACAAATGCTATACAATCCATCCATCCATGTATATGACATTAATAGACAGAGAGGGAGAGAGAGAGAGAGAGAGACAGAGAGTTGTTTTTTTCTTCATGCACCGCAAAGCCATCCTCCCCATATAGTTGGTGGTGCCACGGTACATTCCCTTAGCAGTAACATTATTGAACCAAGTTCCTCTTGCGGGTTCTGAACATTTCTGAACTATTCTTGGAATGCGCCGGCAGTCACCTGGGCCAAAAACAATCCATCAATCCATCAAAATCATCAAACTATAGTTTTATGTTTTATTGATTGCTGTTTCAGATCTATTCTGTGTTTGTGTGATCTTGACATATCTTGACTGTAGATCCACCCGGGCGATTTTCCATCATGAAGCACCCCATTGATCCTTGATCCAGTGGTGGCCCATGACAATTTTCACCACCTGACAGGTCAAAGTGCTTGAAATCGGCTGCGGAAGTGGTCGCTGGGCCAAAAGTCTATTTCCTGATGGGAGTGAGGCTCCTGTCTCCAATGATCCTTGCCCGCATTAAGACCAGATATGACCAGATTGAAACAACCTGGGCCCTTATTTGAAAAGTCGTTTCTGCTGTGGTTCACCTCCATAGGTGTGAGACCACTGCAATCAATATGTCAAGGTCTCGCAGTATTTGGGTGTGGACTACTCCAGCACCATGAGCAATGAATCTGCATCTTGGCAGCGTCAATAGATGGGGATAGATATATATATATATATATTAATAGATGATTCTGATTATTCAATGCATATGTATCTTATGCACACACACACATACACCCTTAGATCGATGAAGACACTCCAAAATGACGATCTATGATGAAACTGATGTTGCATGCAGGGCAGGGCCGAATGCTTGAAACCAGGGTTGGCCATGCCCGTGTACGTGCGACGTACGAGTGGGTTTTTCCAATGGACCGTGAAGGCGGCCAAGGCACCTGACAGCTGAGGCCAGATGTCTATCCCAGATCCAGACTGCCAGAGTGGTTCGAGGTGATGCACGGAGGGATGGCTTGCTTGCAGAGGCGTTCGAGGGCTCGATGTCCTCATGTGTCTCTAAGAACCATTCACAAGAGTTTCTGAGTTTCCAACTGACATCAACTGACTATATAAATTATATAGTTTGGTTTAGAGAATGGGCCCTGTGTGCAAGCCATGTTGAGCATAAGGAGCTTCTTGAACATAAGAACCCAAAGGTCTCACACTCGGAAAAGCATGGCCAATTTCCGAGGTTGGATGTCGATTCAACCCATTAATGACACATTTGGAAGGCACTGGACCCATGATGCAAGATGTGTGCATGATTGTGAATGACAAATGACCTTCATTATCTCCAACTTGTTGTTCTCCGGTGTAATTCCCCTCTTTTCTGCTGATTTCAGACTTCGGAGGCTTGCGCATCCTTCTTCGGAGCCCCTGACCGCATCTGGACGGCAGTAAGAGCAAAGGGGCGTTCGGCTCCAAACAGTTGGTTGTCATCACTATATAATTGTGTGAATTGTTTGAAGGGTTGAGGAATGCCATGGAATGACAAATGAGGACCCAGCCAGATTCCCATATCATGACTGCTCCCAGATCAATCCATGAAAATGAAACCGTTTTTCCGCGTGGACAATTTCTATGACATTTCTCCTGGAACTGGCCCCATTGGAAGCACATCATAAACACTATCGTGTTGCTAATCTTCAGACCCAGTGGTGTGCAATTCCAGCCTGACTGCCAGTGACGGCCCAGCTCCAGGAATTGTGGCTTCCTATGTGCTTGACACTTGGAGTCAGGGAAGTTGTTTTCTTTTTCTTTGGAACGTGGGTCAAAACTGGGGACCCACCTGATATGCAGATTGATTATTCATATCTTTGCTTCTGTTAGAAACCATCCAATTGTTGAGGCAAAAAAAGTTGAATACTTTTGAACGTACCCCATGAAGCAGGGATGTTTACTCAAGTCTTTGTGTCATGTTGTTTCATGTTTGCGTTTGACCAGCTAGGGGCAGCCCCTTGCCCTGCGGTCAGTCTTTCTTTACAGCGCCGCGCGCAACTGAAATCGGCCAGCCAGGAGGTGGTCCAATATGTTGTTTCAGAGCAGCTTTTTCCGGTGCAAGAACCGGGTGCTAAGGACATTTTAGATGAGAAGGACCTTCAGCTGCAATGAGTCCGGGGTGGAATACAACATCGTACAACCATGAACATGAACATGAACATGAACATGATGTGTTTTTTCCATGTTGACATATGGATGCATATGGTAAAACATGACTGGTTCCCCACAGATGGCATGCTGCCAGGATTTGCAGCGTGTCATGTCGCAGTGTGCCACGCTGCTTCGTTCCTCCGGTGGCCTATTTGCAGCTGCCAGTGTCTTGGACTTAAATCTGAAGATATCTGAAGCAACCAACATTCAACCTCTCGTTTGTGAAACTGTGACCCCACCAACGCATTGAGCAAGCACCTAGCGGCCTAGCGGACTAGCGGACCTAGCCCATGCCTGCATGATATTGAAACAGCCCCAAACAAACACAACAGCGCTGCCTGGAACGGTCAATGTACACAGTACACAGTTGTTCCTTCCTATGTCAGAGCATGTTTCCAGATATTTGTATGTTTGGTGCTGCGCAGGTATTTTTCCAGGCAGTCCGACTCTTGATTTGCAATGTGATTGTGTGATTTGAACGTGAGGGTTCTATCTCAGAGTTGGAAGATGTTGCAGCCATCTCTGTGTTCCTACAGTGATCACCAAATCTTCTAGTACTGTGTATATACCTGTTCATTAGGGTTTGTTTGTTCATGGGGGTGGCCGCTCAAGTGCCATGGCGCAATTCAGGGTGGCAGCAAGAGGTTATAATCTAGTATAACAAGGTTTGAACATGTGTTGTTGATTGGGGTCCAACATCGCCTGTGTGTGCAGAGTACTAAAGTAACTAAAGTTCAGGATTGAACTCATGAATTTTAATGATACAATTTCACGAGGGAGGGCCCCCCTGACAGCTAGAAAGATTCATTAAACCATCCATATGTTTCATCCATATATTTTTAAAGTTCCATCCTCAACTCTTTGATCCCCTCGTCAGACATCAAGATGTTGCAAATTCTCGGGTGTGTTCTCCAAAATGGAGAATTGCACCAAACCAAGTGGTTATGTGAAAGGAACCACATTGGAGGACAATTATTGTTGCCCTTGTCTTCCACTTAGCTTTGAGATAGATAGATAGATAGATAGATAGATAGATAGATAGATACATAGATAGATAGATAGATAGATAGATGAGATGATACTGAATCCAAAAATAATGTAAAATAAGCTTGAAGATTTACCTATCTCAAAAACATATGGGTTTTCTTTTGAGATCCAGTCGGCTTCGCTGAGGTTGATGGAGCTATGGGAGTCGATTTGGCAGACTGCGCCTACAGTGGTGGGCGGCTGCAGGCCTAAAGACATCAGGGCCAAGTTGCAGAGCCACTTGGACAGCGACCCTTCAGCCACGTCGCGATTCTGGTGAGGCAGATGGGGAATCGCCAAATGGCTGGACCTGTCAGGTTGGTGGTTAAGAATTATCCAGATTAGATGTCTAGAGATGTCTTATTTAAAATCCAAGCTGTTGCTGTTATATAACACACACACATATATATATATATATAATATTATATATAGAGCGAGCGAGCGAGATAGATAGAGAGAGAGAGAGAGAGAGATAGATGCCCTGCATGAGAAGTATTCAGCATGGCATCAGTGAATGACAACCTGGATGCAGTACCCCTAGAAGAGCTTCCGTGCAGTGGGGTCAAGTTTGTCTCATGGGAATTCTAGACTGACTCTTGAGCGCGGGTGTCTTCATGGCAATCAGTGTGCTTCGATATAGTGGGGCACGGCTTGGTCGGGCGCCAATTTCCGGCAAGATCCTGTGAGCCTGATGCAATGGTTTCATTGGGCAGCTGATGACTGGAATTGGTGTTGTTGAGAATGAGGGGTTCAACTGCAATGGCGAGTGACAGTGAGTGAGACTTGATCCACAAAAAAAGGGACTCTATATTGATATTGATTCATAGTTCGAATTCTAAATAGGATGAAATTAGTGAGGCGTATAGAGATCTCAGAGACATAGACTTGCCTTTCGACTAAGAAGCCTCTCAAATCTTCGTCCATTTGTTTCTTATGGAGTTAGACTTTCCTTCCTCTTCCGCATATCCGTGCCCTGAGGTTTAGGATGGCAAGTGATTGCCACAGAGGTGACAGATGTCTTGGGCTACCGCTCACAAGTGGTGCTGGCGAAACCGCCAGCATAAGTTGGACGCCGGAGGTGAAAAGCAAGTTGAAATTAAATGCGGTCAGCTTTCAGATTTGAGCTGGGGCTTGTTTGGGGACTGTAATTTTCTTTGTTTCTTTTGGTTCCTTTTCATTTTTTTCGAACTGAACAGTGAGGTCAAGGGAGAATGCCGCCGGCAATGGCGTGTCCAAGAGCAGCTCGACCACCGTGTTTATTGTTTTGCGGATGCTCAAACGATGGGTTCTCGCTGGAGATGACGCTTGACATGCAAGCGATTAGGTAGTTATTAGATGTTATTAGTTATCCGTTATCCATGCATATCCATGAATGTTAATAGTTTTTAATATGCAAACGCGTGGCGCGTCCACCAACATTCCCATCATTGCGTGAAATAATACCCTTTCCACTGGATTTTTTTGGCTGGATTGGTATGAGTTTCCATTCACCATTCTTGAGATTGATCCAACCGCCCGTGTTATAAGATGGACAAGCCGGGGTCCTGTAGCTCTGTCCTGACAACTTTAGTTAGCCCTGGAAGCTTCCAGCATCTGCTGTGTCAAAGAGCCTCTGTGCCTGCACATGTCCTATACGTGCTTTTGGTCACCTTACAAACGTTGCAAAGTTGTTGACAACATGTTACAAATATTTACAAATTGATGTCCCAATATTTGGCCAAAACATTGCCCAAGTATGCATACACAATTGATCGCAATTAGCAGGTTCAGAATACGTTCAACTTCATTCGACTGTTTCGATTTGTTCATATATCCAACCAACCAACCAACCTACCTACCTACCTACCAACCAACCAACCAATGAACCTCCATACAAACTTGAGATGCAACTCAGGTTGTTCTCCCAGAAATCGAAAAAATCAGGAATCCCGAGTGCCATATTTGGCTGGAAAAACAATGAAAAACCACGGGTATACCACGGTTTCTTATGGTTTCTTGATGTTTCTCGTAGATTTTTCCTTCAAGCCAGTGTTGGAGATGACTGGAGGCTTATCCTGGACGACAGCTTTGAGGAGGACTTGTAGGAAGCCTCAGCGCAGCGGCCAGTTTTGTGAATTGGAAGGGCAGGTTTGTAGGAACTCCCTTGTCTTCGGAACCAAAAACATGTGTATGCTGTTTTTTTTTAATTAATTGTATACAGTCACAATTCATCGGTTTTTCATTTTTTTCCTATGATTGTTCCTGAAGACCTGTTGAGTTCGGGAGAAACAGAAACAACAACACACAAGACTACATTTTGCGCTACTTGTCGTATATACAGTAGCCCATTAGTCGCTAGACACTAGCCATTGTATGCGTATCCATTTGTTTTTCAAAGCAACTAATCCGTTTCGCTATTTCTTTCTTGTTACTCACGATCATGACGATCATGAGTTTCAGGGGGGGGCTTCTGTTTTTTGACTTCCAGTGTTCAGGGCTGTTTAGGCTCAAAATCCCTCGCCACAGATGGTTTTCGCTGGAGACGGCATCGGATCCCTAAGTAGTCCGTGTCAGCCGCCACAGCCGAAGCCACTCTGGGCATGTGATTCGGTGGAGCAGCTGGCCGAACGGCCTGAACTCCGCTGGACCTCCGTGTTGGAGGAAATTGGGACACGAAAGCCCGAGGAAGCTTGGTAGTTGATGTATGGGGATGGGATCAAATCAAAACTCATGACTTTTGAACTTCCATGTTGAACGCAAGGGATGAACATCCATGCAAAAGGGTTCCTGTATATGTAGTTTGATGTGAAACAGTGGTGTCATGATTTTAATATATTTTAATATATATTTTAATATGCTTTAATTGGTAGGTGGCTGCATATGTTTGTGTGTGTGCCATGCTGAATGTTTTGCTGACATTTTCTCGATGTCGCAAGAAATTTGATCCTTCGTGGCGATGTGACATGATGTGACCATTGTCTCAGGAAGCATTTGTGGTGGAGCCGGACCCTATCTTCCATGAAGCTCCTTGTTCCACCATGATGGAAACACTCGAAACGGTCTCCCGGCGCTCATTCGATTCCTGGTCAGTTCCGACCTTGTCCGACCCACAGCCTCCTTCGAACCGAGTCTTGCATGAAGCCTACACGCAGCAGGTGACCTCTTTCATGAAGGGGGTGTGTAAAAATCCAGCAAACCTCAAGAAGTTGATCTCTAAAAGCCGTGGAGAACTGCCAGAGACCAAAGCCGGACCCTTCGACTCCTTGGGTGGAGGGACACCACGGACCAGGATGCGATTCATGGCATCAATTCCTTTTCTGAGAGGCAGCTGGTCATGACAGCTGGTCATGACAGGTGTCAAAAAATCCTCGACCCTCCACTGCCGAGGAAAAAACATGGTCGTTCTAAGAAGATAATTATATAAGTCAAACAACCCAAAAAATTAAAAACATGATTCACTTTGTTCCAAGTATGTTTCTGGGAAAAGCTCAGCACTACGCCCACATACGCCCACGTACACAAAACGTGACGAATTTTGGAACTCCTAAAAAAATCTGAAAACTACCTAAATCTACCTAAAACAATGAGATTTCAGGATTTGCGGGCTTTTGCAGGTGTTTTGCGGGTTTCCGCGTTCTTTTTTGCCGTGTCGTGCGTTTTTTTTCCTTATAGTCGTTTGAGATGCTACACACATTTTTCGGCCTTTTTCTCACCAAGCCCAGAAACACGCAATCAACCAAAGAAGTATCTAGGGTTTGTGTTAAAATCAGTCGATATAGGTCAAACTCTGAAAACACCGATATTTCCCTAGGATTTGGAGGGTCGAAGATATTCATGAAGAGAAGTATGAGGAGTTTGCCCTTGTACATTGTAGATCTTGCAGGCGTCTCATGATCCTTTTGGCCCGCTATTTAAATGTAGGCCCTGATGGTGAGATGAGTCCGGGCGCAACGTGCCCGTATCAAACCAATCCGAGAAGGTGTTCCAGCGCTTTGATTGATGCAATTTCAGCTTGAATGCAGCAGCTTTATTGATGTTCAATGTTCAGTAGCCAGAAGCTATTGTTTGTATTTATCATATGTTGTAAATATATATATTATATTTCATTCAAATCGTGTCTATTTGTGTGTTTTTTGGTGTTTTTTAAACATCAAACTATACATTATCATTTAAACATATTTAAAGCACTTTATAAACATCTAAGAACAATTAACAATCCACCTGTGAGAAGAAAATTGTAGTGAAGGAAGCACCTTGCGTAGATACCTTTGCAAGCCAGGAGCGCCCGGAGTTTTTGGCCAGGTCAGTCTTGACCATCCCTCTTGGCGCCTCAATGGCAAGTAATTTATACCGCAAGAAATGGACACCCCAAAACACCTCGGACTTGCACAGTACTGCACAGTCTTTGTTTTCCTCTTTCCTCAAAAATTAGTGAGAGAGACTCTGGTTCCCATGCTGTGGGCATATGGCATTGAGGATCCGCAGTTCACAAACTTTTGAGGCGGAAACACTGCGCTGCTTTTTCCTGGACTTGCTCAGCACACTGAAACCCGAGGTCTTCCTTTCATCTAGTCCTAAAGAAAATGTGGGATACCTAAGACAAGAAATCCTGAGACACTTTGTCGCATGTTCTATTCTGGGCAAGCCGGGGCCGCCACAACATACCAGCATCAGCACGCACCCAAGGGGTGCGAAGATTCAAGATCACTTACGTTGAATTCTGCTGCGTAGCTGTGGAGAAAAGATGGGTTTGTACACCCTGCTGCCGGCAAACCAACGGCAATCCCCTCATTGATTCGCCGGGGTTTATGAATCTGGGTAAACAGTACCATCTGGATATTCAACATAGCTATGGCAGCTATGGAAGCCATGGCTCATAGAAATAGATAATAAACATTCTGATTTACACAGTGCTACAGTACCTAAATTTAGATGCCATGGCTACATTAAATAACCAGAGGGTACAGCACATGATTGATGACGTTTGCATTATTTTTTCTGTATTCCACCTTCTCTTCCAGAATGTTGAACCTGTTGATTCCCACCTTGTTTCGCAACGCCAATGTTCTGAGAGAGATGGGATCCACAGATTATCCAAAGACCTCACATGGCTCTGTTTATTTGTCTTCGGACTGATCCAGTTTCGTTTGAAGTCACTTCATGTCACTTCTTTGGATCAGGATTTTGAGTCCTGAACTGCGATGCAAATCACCCTGCAGATCACATGCTGAGGTCTTGATATTTTCTAAGATAGAAAACAATCTTATGATCTTGATATTTGAGGCTAAAGAAAGACATAGAAAGACTCATTTGCTCAATTTTCCCTTGAGGCAATCCATTCATAATGTTTCATAATATCATGCCTGGTCGGTCAAGCCCCATTTTGACAGGTTACATATCCCCTGAGCACTTGTTGACCCTGAATTGGTTAAAAATTGGCTGGGCACCTCTTTTTGTGGATTTTGGGTGGATTACAGCAACTAAATGTAATCAATGCCATCAATGGCAAACATTTTTTACATACTAGTATTGCAAAACAAGTTGTGTTTTTCCTCCCCCAAATTGGGTACCTCTGGTAAACTAACATAGCTATTGAAAATGACCATTAATAGTGGATTTTCCCATTAAAAATGGAGATTTTCAATAGCTATGTTAAATTACCAGAGGGTACCTCAAGAAATCCTTTTCGAAATCCCCCAAACTCCCATGATTTTCCCATGCTTCCCATGACGGATTCAATTCAGGCCGCCGGCGCTTCAAGCTGCAGCCACGGTGCGACATTGGGCAGCGCTGGCCTGGAGACCCATGTGTTTTTTGTTCTCATTGTGTTTTTAAACATTATATATATATCATATATATATAATATATATAATAAATATAAATATAACTATATGTATACATATATATATATACATATTTATATATATATATATTTATATATATATATATAATCACATATATGCGCACAGGTATAAATCTTTATGTATTATTATATAGTATATTCTAGATGGCTGATTTTCAGGTTCAGGTTGCTCCCCCAACACACCTGAGGCCTTGGAAAAACGGCCAAGGACTGAGCAGCTGGTAAGTGCTGGTAATCCTCTCATTGGATGGTTTCAATTACCTTCTGGTCATGTTTAATTGGGAAAATATTTGGAAATTGGGGGATGTTCCATTGGCAGGTTTGATGACCCGAGGGTATCATCAACTATCCAACTCAAAGGGTCGTGTTTACATCGTTGTTTTTTAAAGGCTTTATAATTTTATGACGTTTTACCAACGCAACATGAGGATGGAATCCACCGACATTCTACAACGGTTTAAAGAATCGGAGATCGCCTTTGGGAAGATCACCTCCTTCTGCGGGTCTTCCGTGGCGAATCCTTGGTGCAAATCTTCGGGACCCAGTGATCTAAGAGTGGCTATCCGGTGGCTGAATGCCAAAACTCACCGGAAACCGCTTACTGTTTCGCGGATTCGGAAGGATTCAGGGTTTCAAAGCGATTGCATTGCATCCCTGAAAGAATTCAAATGGCTATGGATCAATACCTATACCTATACATACCATTTTTAGGGGGATGAACATCCATTTACCAGCTATTTTGATGTTCACCAGGGGGATAGGGTTTTGACCCATCCCCAAATGGGCAAAACCTTAAGAAATTCACCCATTGACCCCAGGACCCCAGGCCGCGATGCAGACGAGCCACAGAGTGCTCCAGCCACACCTCATGGACGGGATCAGGTTGGCTCGCCGGCGGTGAATCAGAGGTGGCACTATGAAACAAGATAGGTTGAGTAGCCTTTGGTAAACATACAAAAGGCTATTGAAAATTGTCATTTATAGTGAATTTTCCCATTAAAAATGGTGATTTTCCATAGTTATTTGTATGTTTACCAGAGGGTAGCTGGGGAGAATAATGGATTGTCAATGGAAACACCTGTTAGATCTCATTAGAATTATTGGAATATATGGAAATCTGTGGAAGATGCTGATTATATGGGGGGTTTCCCAAGTCATGGGTGTACCCCCAATCATCCGAGTCATGGATGGCCATGGCTTAGTATTGAAAGCCATGGTGACTTGGGGTACCACCATGGCTTAGGAAACCTCGAAGCAACTGGGGATAATGGGGATATTGATGCATACTGATGGGATATGTTACAGAGAGCTACAGATAGTGCAGCAAAATTATTCTTTGATTGAAACTGATCTTGTGTTACTTCCAAATGGCCCATTTATTGGGAAAAATGATGATTTTGGGAGGCGGTGTTTTTTCTCAGACAAACCAGCAGGATCGGTTGAAGTTGCAGGTTAAACATGAAGCAACAGCAAGCCTGTTCCCACCATCATCCAACACGGCCCACCATTCCAGATAGAGTGCAACTCTGCGGCCTTGAATTTGTTTCGTGATGCCTTCCATGCGTTGTTTGGGCAGTTTTTTTCTAATAACAGAGCTGAAAATCGTGTTCAACTGAACAATGCGCCTTGAATTTCGGGCAACCAAACTATTTGAA